GTTCCTTGAAGGCAAGAACCCTATCCCTTTGAATGGAGAAAAACTACAAAGGGCACCTGTACCTTGGGCAATTTCTCCACATAGAAACATAGAGCAAGTCAGAAGGGGCCTCCCGGGCCATCTATTCTGACCCCTGGCTCCAGCTGGCTCTGCTCATGACATGCCTACCATGTGCATATCCAGCCTATCTTTGAACACCCTCACTGATGCGGCTTCAACCACCTCCTGTGGAAGCCCACTCCATATCCTAGGGGTCCTGTCAGAAAATACTTCCTGGCATCCAAAATGAACCTTGGCTGCTTTAGCTTTGCACCATTGGAATGTGTCCTGCCCTCCTCTGCAGGGGTCTCTACCCACCTCCGTGTGGTACACCCTCATATACCTATATGTCACCAACAGATGCAAACTAGTGGTATTGTCAAGGCTTGCACATCCAAGACCTCCTTTTGAGTGCTATTCACCCCTCCTGAACTCCCTTGCCTTCCAGTACCCTCTCCCAGGAAACTTTCCCCAGTCTGGCATTCAACTGACCAAAGCTAGCCCTTGTGAAGTCCCAGCTTCTAGTACATGACCTGCCACTCATCCCCATTCCCCTGATCTGCACCTCATCTATCAGCTCTTCCCTGTTGGCGAAGACCAAGTCAAGGATATTTCTCTCCCTCATCACCTCCTTGACCTCTGCATGAAAAACCCTCCCTCTATAGCATCTAGGAAGCGATGTGATCTGTCTGTCACCACCAAGTGAGTCTCCCAACCACCATAATATCTGGAAGACTGAAATCTCCCAAAACTACTGTATCCCTTCCCCAAGTTATCCATCAAATCTTTTCTGTCAGGGCATCAACCAGGGTCTCAGATTGACTTGGAGGGCGATAACATACTCCCACTGTTAGGTCCCTCCCCCTGTCAAAACACTTTAATTTTACCCAGACCGCCTCTACCAGATCCCCATTTGCACCACCTATCTCATTGCATCCTACCCCTTCCCTGACATATAACGCTACCCTCCCTTTCTCTTCCTGTCCTTTCTAAACAGGACATATCCCTCTATGTTTACATTCCAACCCCACTATGTTTCCATGATCCCCACCAGGTCAGACCCTCCTATTCCCAGGAGAGCATTGAACTCTTCCTGCTTGTTTCCCATTCTCCTAGCATTGGCATACATGTAACTCAGCTCCTTCCCATGACCCCCTTTCTTTGGATCCCTTGGCCTCCTCGTCCTTCCCTTGTACCAGAACCCTCTTCGTAGAAGTCCCAGCTGCCCCTGCATTACCTTCGATGCCTCGGCCCTGAAACTCTAATCGTCCCTCATTTGTCCAATTAGGACAGGTTTTTGGGAGGCCTGAACCCCCCCTTCCCTGGGCTCAGTTTAAATCCTTCCGGATGAAGCTCACTAGAGCATCTTCAAACAACCTTCTCCCCATCCTTGTGAGGTGCGCCCCATTCCCCAGGTGCCATGAAGCATTCCTTCTGACACCAAGCCCTGAGCCTGACATTCCCTTCCACAGCCCTCCTCTCCCTAATTGGCCCAAACCCCCAAACAGGCCAGATAGAGGAAAAGGCCACCTGGCTTTTAGGTCCTTGAGTTTCTTGCCCAGAGCCTCAACATCCCTAGCAATTCTGCCCCCCCCCCCAGCCTGGTGGTGTCATTTGTCCCCACATAGATCACCAGAAGCAGCTGGTGACCCCTCCGAGGGAAGAAGACGCTCCAGTCTGTCTGTCACATGCTGGATGCGTGCCTCCCTTATCAGAGCAGTACAGTGCCATCTCAGTGCCCCTTACGAGGTAGCAGGGAGTCCCCGATGACTATCACTTGTCGCCGTCTCTTCCTAGTGATGATAGATGGCCATGCCTTGGCCCTCACCACTCTTACGGTGGCCCCCTGGCCACATCTGGCCCCAGAATGGAGTTTCCAAACAAGTCGGTCCCCCAGGTCATCATCAGCCCCAGCCTCCCCAAGCAGAAAAAACATGTTTCCCAGCTACAGGTCAGCACTATGCCTGTCAGGTCAGCAGCATGCCTGCCTGTTCCCAGTTCCGTGCCTGCCTCAAGGTTCCCTTCTTCCAGAGAGACATGCTCCTGGCACTTGTGCTGAATGAAAATCACACATTGTCTCAGTGGAGGGTAATTTCTCTGATCGCTTCCCTCTTGCCTGAGTGAAAATTTCAGAGGCATCTCATCTTTTATCTGTTGAGTACCCAATAATGGTGTTACCCTAACTCTCTGAAGAATCTATTACTAATGAATAGATTGGCTAGGTAATAGCACTGGCCTACAGATATGCTCAGCCTGGTCAACTGCAGACCTGGGTTAAATAGTCTAGCTATATAGACCCACCAGGCCACCAAAAACAATGCAAGCTGATGAGTTTTGTTGTGCGACAGGCTGCCCCCCCCCCCATTCTATAAACAGGCTAATAAATTGTAGTTCCAGTTATTAGCTTTTATTATAAAGAAATTGCAGAGAATCAAGCATATTTTCAGAGTACAGAGTAGAATTCCCCATTCAAAAAAAGGCAAAGGATCGAAGTTACTGTGACATAATACTAGTTCTCTAAGTTCTCACAGGTTTTCTAGGTTACCACATCATAAATGAAATTTAATAATTTACACAAAATTAGTTTAGAGAATTACAACTCTCCCTGTTCAGACCAGGCAGTATACCAAAGCCCTATCCTCAGGATAGGTCTTTCCATATGCAAAATGGCCAGTCATGTGTTCTCAAATACCTGTGTTCTCATCAGCTGCAGAAAAACTGAAACAATGGTGTCCATTTGTTTCTTAATGGACCTACTTAAGCATCCAGTCCCACGGGGCAAGCTCCTGTACAGTGTAGTTCCCAAAGCAGATTTCCTGAATGGTACCTCAATCAGACACATTTGCATGATCCAAACTGCAAAGAAATCTACTGACTTGGCACATCAATAAAGCAATCAGTAATGTTTTCCTTACTATTGTTACCAGTATTTCTGAGAGGTTTAGAACCTTATGTCATGCCTAAAGACATCAGGATGCTATTGTACTAACATTATACAGAAACTTAACACACTGTATTGGTTTAAGTGGCTAGCAGGTTATAAAAGTGTGCGTACATGGGCTGTGATTTTGTAATTGGCAGTGAGATCCACAACCTGGTACCATGCTGTCATAAGTAACTGCAGGAGTCCTGAGTGATCTTTCAATAAAACTGCTGAGGTTCAAGGCAAAAGGAGTCTTTCCTGACTGAACCCAGGTATCCTGTGTCATGGCTGCCATCGAGGCTTCCCGACACTTGCAATCTTGACTTCTCAGTTGCACATTCACAGTCACTTCCCAGGTGCCTCTTTTGAAGTGCCTCTGCAGCACTGCTGTGCCCAAACTCTTCTTGCAAGTTGAAATTCCAGGCTATTTTCCAGAATGCAGACTCATGTTCAAGGGAGAAACTGGGAAGTGTTTTCTATGGATATTTTGTGGCTCATTGCATTCCTTCCATGTAGTTATTTGTAATAAGTAAATCTGCTTGGCTCACTTGGAATTTGCCATTTTGGATAGGTTCTGCATATTATGGGGTTAATAATTATATAATATTGCAGAGGTTTTAGCCCTGAAATATTGTTCTTGACTGTCTCTAACACATATCATTGGTTTTTTACTCTTTTTTAAAAATACAAAATATGGCCAAGCTGATAGAAACAATTGATGGGGAATGGTTGATGATGCTCCTCTTCCTCAAGACCTGCTAACAGATCCCAGAAGGGCTTAAATTAACCAGAGAAAATCCGCAATGTCATGATGTTATTTGTGGGGGCATCACTGAAAAACTGCAGAACTTGTGGTGGGGAATTTTCAAGTGAAGTACAGAAAAATCATGGGTTTTAGATTTCATTTGTGAATAGAATGTTTGAAGGAACCAAGGTGTGTTGTTTCTGGCATATGGTACTCCAAAACCTTCCCCATTTAGCCTCTGAAAAAAAAACCAGAGATAATTTTGAAAAAGAACATTTACAGGCATACAGGAAATACATGCAACATGTAGGTAACCCCCCCAAAGGAACTACACAGATGGAGTCAGTGCAAGAGTCTTTTACAACCTATCACTGATATACACACAGTTTGGAGGAGTGGAGGAAGCAGTTTGCTAAAAGCACATGAGGACCGAATGTGGTTAAGACACACAAAACAAAAAGAACCTTCAAGATAGGCAAACATTAGGAAATCTAAGAGTGTACACAGGGAACCAGACTTGCAACATGGTTTCCTTATCAGACAATCCAGCTTTAAGTCTAAAGCTATTCTTACAGCTTTTAGCAGCCATATTGTCTCCCAATATGTACAATTAGAAAAGATCGATTACCTCCTTCCTGATGAATAAAACAGATGGTTCATCTTTAAATGTATCACTTCAAAGAACAATTTAACAATCCTGACTGATGCACAAAAAGTACAAAAATGTTCCTAATTACATAACACTGCACCACATTGCAGAGTTGTCATAAACTAAATGGAGATAATGTTGAACTGTTATTGCAAGGCTGTTGTACACCACTCTTAATTTCCGCTCTACAAGGGGACGGTCTTAAATTACTACGCCTTCGCTGTGTGAACAATGCGTACAAAGGGGAACTTCCGACCTACAATAGCCAGAAAAAGGGCTTGGTGAGTTTAAAGGGTTAATTTTCATTCAGTTTCCTTTGTGACATACTTATTAGCGACTAGTAAAAGAGTTGAGCTCAAACAGCTGATGGGAAATGACGTTCTTTTTGCCGAATAACGTAATTTCCCATCAGTTCTTTGACTCTTTCAGTTGCTCCCAAAGAATGATGGGTAGCGGGAGACTTACTCGGTATAACAGTAATTAGCGTATTCAGTAGAAATCACCCGGAAAGCAGTGTTGTTGGTGTCCGGGGCGCTACAAGGAAAAGCAGTTTATTAAGCTATGGAAATACGTTTTTAAAGAAGACTTAAAGGTAACGTTTAGTTTAGCTCTCAGCCATACCATGCTCGTATGAGGATAATAACTGTATATAGTTGAGCATTCGAAAACTAAAGGGAATAAGAATCTTATTTTCCACACGAAATAAAGAAAGTCTTTTTTTACACAATCCTAGGAACTCCTGGATTAATTCACCAGTCACTTTTTACACAAGAGCGGAGGACAGAACTGCGTCAAAATTAGGCGAAAAATGCTTTTTAATCTAACATTTTGAACCATAGTGAGATTCCATTTCTATGAGTCTGAACAGGTCAGTGGGCGGTTCTAAGGGTGCAGGCTAGTCAACACTCCCTTTCCGCTGAAGGCAAGCGAAGGAGGGTAGGAAAGGGGCTTACAGCAATTCATTCCGCCGGTGGTGAGGTAGGCTGGGGGTGCTCACCTCTCTCTCCCTTTCTCTCTCTCTCCCTCCCTCTCTCTCTCGGTGTGGAGTCTGTGGCGCAGCCTCGTCAGGATAGCGATTATTGGCCATATTTAGTTCTCCCCCTCTCAACCTGGAATTAAGGCAAATTTCAAACTGGGGTTTCTCTGCTGTAGCTGTTCCTGCTGGACCGCGTAGAGGAAGGTTTAATTTGAAGGGGCGGGGTACAAATGGGGAGGGGGCGAGCTAAGTTGTTTAAAAAACGTTTTCTTTATTGATAATGTGTGCTGATTTTATAATTATTACTTATTTAAAAATAAATGCAAACCATTCTGGATCAAATTCCTTGTCTTCAAAAAATAGACATTCTTTTCCGTGCCACAACAGAGATACGCAGAATGTTCAGATGAATTGTTTCCTATGCAGAAGTTATATTTTTTAATAGTTCTGAACAGTAACTCAAGAATACTTAGATTTAGTAACACTTAGTTTCTTTTAAAAAGCAGGATATTTGTCCTACCCCTATTACAGAATATAAGCATATGTTCTTTTACTGAAAAGATGAGCTGGGTATTGAAGCTCTAGTCTCCCAGTGCAGCTGTGTCAGGAGGTTTTAAATTTGTTAGACATCAGGGAATTTTGGATATTACTGAGCCTCTGGGAAAGGAAGGAATGATTTAAACCAAAGTGGAACCAAACTGCAGGTGCTTGATATAAAAAGACTGTGAAGTCATTTTGAAATAGACTTCTGAGAAAAAGGGAGCAGGGTATGCAGAGTTTTGAATTTGGGACCTGCTTTTTAAGAGGCATGATGAGAAAACAATGTTCCAAGTCATTCCTGTATACCTATGTGAATGTAGTTAAAACATGGCACTTATGGCACATGGGGGACAAATGGCATAGTCAGGCAGGGTGTGTGTGGGATCACCAGGGACTTCGAGGCCTTGGAGAAGAAACTCAGGGACCTAAAGGCCCAAGTTGCCTTCTCATCAATCTTACCAGTCTGGGGATTTGGGCCAGGCAGGGATAGGAGGGTTGCCAAGGTGAATTATTGGCTAGGGGGTTGTGCCAGAAGGAACACTTTGGGTTCCTTGACCATGGCACCCGCTTTCTTGACAATGGACTTCCGGCAAGGAATGGGTTGCACCACACAAGGATGGGGAAAAGGTCCTTTGGAGATGTTCAGTCCGGAAGACTTTAAACTGAGCCGGAGGAGGGGGAGGTCAGGCCCCCCCAGAAACCTGTCTGCACTGGACAAGAGTGGGGAGAGGATCAGGGCTCTGTGACCAGGGTTTTAGAGGTACTGCAGGGACTGACAGGACTCATACAAAGAGAGGACCGGTATCAGGGAAGATGGGAGGAAGGAGGAGGCTGGGGACTCCAAAGCAAGGAAGCTGTGGGAAGGAGTTGAGGTGCATGTACACCAATGCTAGGAGCATGGGTAATAAGCAGGAAGAACTTGAAGCTCTCCTGGGAACAGGAGGGTATGACCTGGTGGGAATCATAGAAACTTGGTGGGATGAAAGGCAAGACTGGAATGCAAACAGAGGGGGGTAGCTCTTGTTTAGAAAGGACAGGAAGGGAAAGAGGGGTGGGGGCATACTTTTTATGTCAGGGAAGGGATAGGATGCAGTGGGATAGAATGCAGCACTGATGGGGATTCGGTAGAGGCAGTCTGGGTGAAACTAAGGGGTTTTGACAGGGAAAGGGACCTGACAATAGGGGTATGTTATCGCCTTTCAGGTCAACTTGAGACCCTGGATGATGTCCTGACAGGTCAGATTCTAAGGATATCTCAGGGGAGAGACACAGTAATTTTGGGAGATTTCAATCTCCCGGATATTAGTTGGGAGACTCACTCAGCAGTGACAGCCAGGTCACGTCACTTCCTAGAAGCTATAGGGGGAGGTTTTTTCACAGAGAGGGTCTGAGAAGTGACAGGGAAGGGGGACATCCTTGACTTGGTCTTGACCAAACGGGAGGAACTGATAGATGAGGTACAGATTAGGGGAACTCTGGATGCAAATGACCACTCCATCCTTTGCTTTGAGATCAGGGGAATGGGGACATGCAGCAGGTCGAGCATTAGAAGCTGGGACTTCAAGAGGGCCAGCTTTGGCCAACTGAAGGCCAGAGTGGGGAAAGTCTCCTGGGACAGGTTACTGGAAGGCAAGCAAGTTGAGGAGGGGTGGATAGCACTCAAAAGGGAGGTTTTGGAGGTGCAAGCCTTGACGATACCTCTAGTTAGTAAGCTGGGAAGGCTTAGGAGAGGGCTGCCATGGATGTGAAAGGAGGTGGTTAGAGGAATTTGATGCAAGGGTAAGCTCCATAGGAAATGCGTACTAGGGCAAATAGATAAAAGGGTATACCAGGAGGAGGTGGCCTGTTGCAGCAAGGCTAAGGTGGATTACGAGCTGAGACTTACAAAGAATATCAAGAGCAACAAAAAGGGCTTCTGTTGTTGTTGTTACTCGCCTAGTTATGTCCAACCTATCGCAACCCCATGGACAACATTCCTCCAGGCCGTCCTGTCCTCCACCATCCCCTGGAGTCCACTTATGCTCACGCTGACTGCTTCAGTGACTCCATCTAGCAACCTCATTCTCTGCCATCCCCTTCTTCTTTTGCCATCTATTATTCCCAGCATTAGGCTCTTCTCCAGGGAGTCTTTCCTTCTCATTAGGTGGCCAATGTATTTGAGTTTCATCTTCACTATCTGGCCTTCCAAAGAGCAGTCAGGGTTGATCTCCTCTAGGACTGACCAGCTTGATCACCTTGCAGTCCAGGGGACTCGCAGGAGTCTCCTCCAGCACCACAATTCAAAGGCCTCAATCCTTCAGCGCTCAGCCTTCCTTATGGTCCAGGTTTCACAGCCATACATTGCAACTGGGAAAACCATGCCCTTGACTATAAGCACTTTTGTCGGCAGGGTGATCTCACTGCTTTTCAGTATGCTGTCTAGATTTGCTCCCAAGGAGCGAGTGGCTTTTAATTCCTTGACTGCAGTCCCTGTCTGTGGTGATCGTGGAGCCCAGGAAAATAAAATCTTTCACTACCTCCATTTCTTCCCCTTCTATTTGCCAGGAAGTGATTGGACCAGATGCCATGAACTTAGTTTTCTTAATGTTGAGTTCAAGCCAACTTCTGCGCTCTCCTCCTTCACCTGAACCAAGAGACGCTTTAGTTCCTCTTCACTTTCTGCCATTAGAGTGGTATCATCTGCATTTCTGAGGCTGTTAATATTTCTCCTGGCAATCTTAATTCCAATTTATGATTCATCTAGCCCTGCCTGTCTCATGATGCACTCTGCATATAAGTTAAATAGGCAGGGTGACAGTATACAGGCTTGCTGAACTTGTTTCTCAATTCTGAACCAATCAGTGGTTCCGTGTCCAGTTCTCACTGTTGCTTCTTGACCCACATATAGGTTTTAAAAAGAGACAAATAAGATGGTCTGGCACTCCCATCTCTTCAAAGACTTGCCACAATTTGTTGTGATCCACACAATCAAAGGCTTTAGCATAGTCCATGAAGCAGATGTTTTTCTGGAACTCCCTAGCTTTATCCAAGATCCAGCGTATGTTGGCAATTTGATCTCTAGTTCCTCTCCCTCTTCGAAATCCTGCCTGTACTTCTGGTAGTTCTCGGTCCACATACTGCTGGAGCCTAGCTTGTAGGATTTTGAGCATCACTTTGCTAGCATGTGAAATGAGTGTAATGGTGCAGTAATTTGAACATTCTTTGGCATTGCCCTTCTTTGGGACTGGAATGTAAACTGACCTTTTCCAATCCTGTGGCCACTGTTGAGTTTTCTAAATTTGCTGGCATATTGAATATAGCACTTTTACTGCATCGTCTTTTAGGATTTTTAATAGCTAAGCTGGAATATGTCACCTCCACTAGCTTTGTTGTTGCTCAGACATCCTAAGACCCATTTGACTTCACATTCCTGGTTGTCTGGCTCGAGGTCAGTGCCCACCCCATCCTGGTTTTCCGGGACGTTAAGCTCTTTCTTGTACAGTTCTTCTGTGTAAGGTCCCTGCCATTTTGGTCCTTTATCATGCCCATCTTTGCATGAAACATTCCCTTCGTATCTCCAATTTTCTTGGAGAAATCTCTGGTCCTCCCTATTCTATTGTTTTCTTATATTTCTTTATGCTGTTCATTTAAGAAGGCCTTCTTATCTCTTCTAGCTATTCTCTGGAATTCTGCATTCAATTAGGTATACTTTCCCTTTCTACCTTGCCTTTCCTCAGCTATTTGTAAAGCTTCCTCAGACAGCCATTTTGCGTTCTTGCATTTCTTTTTCTTTGGGATGGTTTTACGTGTTGCCTCTTGTACAATGTTGCGAACCTCCATCCAAAGTTCTTCAGGCACTCTATCAGATCTAATTCCTTAAATCTATTTGTCACCTCTACTGTATATTCATCAGGAATATGATTTAGGCCATACCTGAGTGGCCTAGTGCTTTTCCCTGATTTCTTCAATTTAAGCCTAAATTTTGCAACAAGAAGCTCATCATCTGAGCCACAGTCAGCTCCAGGTCTCATTTTTACTGACTGTATAGAGCTTCTCCATCTTTGGCTGCAGAGCACATAGTCAATCTGATTTCTTTGTTGACTGTCTGGTGCTGTCCCTGTGTAGAGTCTCTTGTGTTGTTGGAAAATAATGTTTGCTATGGCCAGCATGTTCTCTTTACAAAATTCTACCAACCTGTGCCCTGCTTCATTTTGTACTCCAAGGCCAAACTTGCCTGTCATTCCAGTTATCTTTTGGCTTCCCACTTTAGCATTCCAATCCCCCATGATGATGAGGAAATCATTTTTTGGTGTTAATTCTAGAAGATGTTGTAGGCCTTCATAGAACTGGTCAACTTCAGCCTCTTCAGCATCAGTGGTTGGGGCATAGACTTGAACTATTGTGATTTTGAAGGGTTTGCTTTGGATTCGAACTGAGCTCATTCTGTCATTTTGGAGATTGTATTCCAGTATTGCTTTTCCTACTCTTTTATTAACTATGAAAGCTACTCCATTTCTTCTGAGGGATTCTTGCCCGCAGTAGTATACCTGATGGTCATCTTAATTAAACTCACCCATTCCTGTCCATTTTAGTTCACCGATTCCTAAGATGTTTATGTTTAGTCTTGTCATCTCTTGTTTGACCACATCCAGCTCGCCTTGATTCATGGATCTTACATTCCAGGTTCCTATGGAGTATAGATCTTTACAGCATTAGATGCTCCTTTCACTACCAATTGCAGCTGCAACTGATTGTCCTTTCAGCTTTGAAGCAGTCACTCCATTCTTTCTGGTGCTACTAGTACTGGGCCTGTGCTCTTCCCCAGTAGCATATTGGACACCTTCCGACCTGAGGGGCTCATCTTCCAGCGTCTTATCTTTTTGCATTTTGGTACTGTCCATGGGGTTTTCATGGCAAAGATACTGGAGTGGGTTACCATTTCCTTCTCCAGTGGATCACATTTTGTCAGAGCTCTCTGCTATGACCTGTCCATCTTGGATGGCCCTGCACGGCATAGCTCATAGCTTCATTGAGCTACGCAAGCCCCTTTGTCACGACAAGGCAGTGATCCATGAAGGGGAAAAGGGCTTCTATCAGTATGTAAATAGCAAGAGGAAGGGGAGACAAGTAGTGGGACTGCTAAATAAGGAGGAAGGGGATCCAGTGACTGATGTGAGGGAACAGGCACAGATGCTAAATGACTATTTTGCCTCTGTGTTTTCCCCAAAGCAGGACAGGGGAGATCCGCATGGGAGATTAGAGGAGGCCGGGGACTTAGGGGCACAGATTAGAGTCACCCCCCTAGAAGTTGAGGGGCTCCTCAGCCCATTAGACGTTACAAAGGCGCTAGGCCCTGATGGGTTACACCCGAAAGTACTTCGAGCATTGGCAGGGGTTCTTTCCCACCCTCTGGCCTCTATTTTTGAGGCCTTGTGGAGAACAAGTGAAGTTCCAGAGGACTGGAGGGTGGTGTCAGTGGTCCCAATTTTCAAAAAGGGTAGTAGAAGGGACATGGGGAATTAGAGACCAGTTAGCCTTACATCCATTGTAGGAAAAACAATGGAAAGGCTCATAATAGCGAGAGATCTAGTGCTGAGAGGGGAGGCTGGCGGCCACATAACACGGCTTCCGCAATAACAGATTCTGCCAGACAAACCTTGTGGAATTGTATGTCACATGGAGGTGGGTAGAGGCCTGTTCTCTCCTGCAGAGGAGGGAATGACACGCTTCAATGGAGCAAAGCTCAGTGAACCAAGGTTCAATTTAGATGCGTCCTATACATGGGGGTGTCTTATAGAGGGAAAAATAAGGTACTTCCTGACAGTTAGGACCCCGATGGTTTGGAATGGGCTTCCACGGGAGGTGGTTGAGGCTCCATGAGTGAGGGTGTTCAAGGATAGGCTAGGCATGCACATGGTAGGCATGTCATGAGTGGAACCAGCTGAAACTGTACAACAACATTTTAATTAAAGGTATAGGAACCCTGGAACATATTTGCATTTTATTTTTTTTAATTGCCATAAATTGATTTTGACAACCCAGAAAGCATTAGAATACAGCTATTTGTCAGCAACATTGTCTGAATTCTCCCTAAAAAGTAAGTAAATATAGTAATTTCAGACTAGGCTGGAAGTAGCCATTGTATTTTTCAACCTAGCCATGCTGAGGGAATTGGAGAACATGGATGATAAATGGTACAACTGTTCTACAAAAAGAAGAGGGTCCAGTGTGATATCATTACATGTTTTCCTGGCTTCCACGTTATTCATTTGCCACTTCCATAGGAAACACATCATAATGATGATTATAAGTAGGCTAAGATGAACAACTGTATTTGTTTAGTTGTTTGAAAGTATTTTCAGGCTGCTTTTAAAGTGTAGCGCATTGGGCAGAAGAAGGGTAATCCTGATATGGGACTGTAATTTTTGGCAGTAGTTCTTAGGTACTTTAGAACAGAAAGTTTACCCTTAAACATTAGCCTACAAGTATGGAATCTTGAACCAAATGGGTTGGTATAATAAATCCTTGTTTCTCAGTGGCATAACAAAAACTTGCTTGCAGTTATTATGATTATCTTTTACCTGTGATATAAACCATATATCGGGTATGAGGCCTATGTAATTTTAGATCTCCTAGAATGCAATCCTTACAAGACAGGCAACACTTAAATGGAGTGTCCCAGTCTTTTAAGTTCTTCATTCATCCAAAGCTCCATCTATTATGGCCTAGCAGGGAAAAGAATAACTGGTGTTTATACCTCCCATTCCTATCATTAAGCATTTTGAGAGTGATAGACCACCCTGCCTTCCTAACTCGTCTGGGAGAAGTAAATGGGAGCCAGGTTTGAACACTGCAAAGTCTCCTCTTCAACAACTGCCTGCCTTCTCCATTAGTTTTTTGCACAAAATTTTTGCATTTGCGGTCCCCACTCAGGTGCTAATTGACCCCCGCCCCCAGAAAAGAGTCCGCTAGGGGTGTACACCCGAAAGAACATTTGCAGTTTATTCAGATATGCAAGAACTACATGTAGCATGATGATAGCCCCCAAAGGGAAAATAAAAATGGAGTCTGTACAAGATGCTTTTATAACCTATCAGTTACATACACAGTTTGGAGGAGGGGGGGATCACAGGGTCATGAGAGTTAAACAATAGGGCTGAATGGGATTAAGACACACAAAACTAAAAGAAGAGCCTTCTGTTCAAGTGAAGCTTCTCTGTGGTCAGGACTGTCTGTCTGGCTGCCTCAAGAGAAGTTCTGCAGCATGCTGTGGCTTTTTATATGCTGTCCAGGAGCCATAGGAATGGGTTTAAACTTCCAGCACAATATATGTTTTGTATTATTAGAATTTCACTTGTGGAATTGTTCTATTTTAGGAAATGTTGCAAGGAGCTGATGAACTCTTTCAAAATGTGGCAGATCATCTTGAAGAAATGGATACATCAGATACCCAGTGGGGATGGTTTTACTTGGCTGAATGTGGCAAATGGCATATGTTTGAGGTAGTTGTCTGGATATGTAGATGGACGAACCTATTTAGCTACATCTCATCTCTTCCTCTCTGCTTGTGAAGGTCACACTTTCCATTTCACAGATGCAGAATAAATTTAGGCTTCAATCCTATACCTATGTACCTGAGAGTAAGCCCTGTTGAACTCAGTGGGGCTTGCTTCTTGATAGACATGTATAGGTTTGCAATTTAAGGGTCTTTGTTGGGGGACATAATATTTCTTTTCAAGTGTGCACTTGAATATATATTTGAATAGGACACCTTTTGGTGCTTGCATCATAGCACAAGTTTTAAATTTACAATGTAGATACAAAAAAAAATTCTACTGAATCACTGCAAAACAATTTTAAGTATTATTCACAATACTGTATATTTGTTTCCAAAACTGGTAACTGATGCCTAGTTCTTTACAAACTTTACCTTTAATTGTCTACCACCTTTTCTTTATTTCATTTTTAATAACTGCTATTTGCTATACTTTATCCATGTTTGGCGGGTTCTCAGCCCCTTCCTTCTGCTGCCCTCCCACTGGTATGCCTTCCTCCTCCCCAGCCTTTGCTGAGGTTGCAATGGCAATCCTACAGGAAGGCCACTATGGAGTGTGCTGCAGCAGTTGTGAAAGATGGGAAAAGCAAGAAATCCCCATTTGGATTTCTCTTTCTTCAGTTGTAGTAGCGTCCACAGCCTAAGGAGGTAAAATCTACTGTATTCTGTGGTTCCTGAAATGCTCTTCCAGGAGCCACAGGATTCCTCTGTGGCTTAGTTTGTGTCTGATTTAAGAGTGTAAAAGAGTGTAAAAGAGTAGAGACCTGTCAAAGCCTTTTTTCCTGAAATACCATTTGCATAGATGGTACTAGAGAGTTGCTACCTTTATGCCCCCCTCCCATTTTATGAGTCCCACATCTGCTGCTATGTACCAAAGTTCACCACTGCTCTGTGGTGACCACCACTGTGAGTGAATGGGAGAATAGACAATATAGTATATCCATACTCCTTTTTATTCTTTCTTTCCTGTGGCCCTTCCTACTGCCACCATATGGATTTTCTCGTTTTTGTGACAGCATTTCTGAAACCAACCTTAAAACTCTTGGGACCAGATGTGGACAACATGTTGTAGCTCATCATGAATTAAACCAACAATGAGCTGGAACATATCATCTGAACATGGTATACAATCAAATAACCCTTGTATAGCCCATATTGGCTAGGTTTGCACAGCATGGCAACCCCAAGTAGGAGTTGCTTATTCAAAATGGTAACTGCATATGCATTGCAGCCTCATCATGGGTTACCGACAGTGGACTATTGTGTTTCGAGAACAACCTCTATGAAGTCACAGGTGCTTAATTTAGATAGTGTGAGTGTTGACTATTTGATGGAGGCTGGATAACCCAACAAAAGAGTTCACAACATTTAAAATTATACAGAAAAATGATAATAGCAAAAAGGTTTAAAATCTGAATGGATATGCACACATGGCACACAGAAGGGACACAGGACCAATAAGGTAATTTAGGCAACTAGGAATAAATGCATCTATCTAACTAGACAGTATCCCTATATTCTTCAGGTCTCTTATCCAAGCAGTTTCATCTTCCTTGGTTCTGCTTCTCCAATCAGAATTACAGAGAAATACCTGAAAGATCATTAGCTATGTCTGAAAAAATTCAGTCAAATTAGAATAAGGCTTTCAATACCTGGGGTCAGACCTTCATTTTTTTTTCATTTTCATGAATTCCAAAATGTATTAATTTATCTGCCCTGGCCTTCGTTTTCATTTTCTTCAGTTCTTAACACATCCATAAACAGAATAGATAACACAGCGTGAACATTTGATGTACTTATTTTGCATTACTTCATGCAGAGCATGGGTTTCCTTCTTGCTGAATTTGGGGGATGGAATGATGCATATGGTGGTACTATGAACTCCTCTGCCAAAAATTCATGAGAGACCCTTAGACAAGCGGCTCTCTCTTGGCCTCAATTCCTACCTATAATTTGGGGATAGCAATTCTGCATATTTTACAATAGAGCTGTTGTTATTGTTTCATCATCCTTGGTATATAAACTTTTAAAATATACTTTTTATTTGTTTTGAAGACTGATTCTAATACCTGGTGTTCACTTAGCAGTGAAGACATTGAAAAGAGGTTCAAAATGAATCCACAAGGCTCCATTTCTTTTACAACTGCAAAATTTAACTACATATTAGACTTTTCAAGTACGTATATTTTTTGTGTATACTTTTACACGTGTATCATGGTGAAATCTGGAGAGGGCAAGCCTAGTTACAACATATTGGTAGCGATCAGCTTTTGCAGACTAACATTACTTGATATTTATGGAAATTTTTAATATGTTCTAGCCTTGTTCTCTAGATACATTTACAAGATTTATTTTGTTTTCCTTTGAGAAATCTATGTCTTTAGCATATACACAGGAAACACATGAGTATCTTTTTATAGGGTTCTTGAGGGAGAGGCAACCCAGAGTTCCCAGTTCTGGCACAATAGTAAGCAAATCCTAAACTGACAGGAGGAGTTAAGTATAATCAAGCCACGGGCAATAGCAGAATTTTTAAAACTCTGGATTGCCATTGCATGCAAACTGGCCAATTAAATAAAACTATTCTCATGAAGTTATTCTGAATAAAAGTACTTGAATGAACACTGATTGATTTGCAGATCTTCACTAATTTGGGTTTTGTACACAGGGATGAAGCAAACCAATCAAACAACTGGAAAAGAGCGTCCCATAAAGCGAGCTCCATTTTCTATCAGTGCCTTCAGGTAGGCAATAAAGCTCACTTGTGTTTTTCTTGTTATATATTAGTATTCTCTCCCACAAGTACAGGAGGCCAGCTAGTTTTGGGGAGGCCTCTGGAAGGCAGACTTTGTTAAATTTCTTGAAGTAGACATTGTCTTCCCAGAAGTTTCCAGTTAATTCTCATGCATTGTGGTGGGAGGCAGAAATCCTGGCTCTCATGTGCATTGCGAGAGCAGCAACAACAACAACAACAAATAAGGAGAAGGGGGAGGGGGAATGGAAAACGGGAATGCCAAACAAGTGTCAGTCCTGGCATGCAGCCAGCTGAAGCCTGGCAAAAGGAGAGAACCCTCCAGCAGACAGGCCCAAAAGGAGGCCTCTGCATGTGCTCTCCACATGAACAAGCCACAACTGCTGCCACATTGGTGCATGAACTGCAGCCCTCACATCCCACCTCCCAGCATGCAACCCCAACACCCTCTGCTGCATAGACCTGCACTTTGGAGGCTGTGGATCACTCTTGCATGGGGGTGCGGGGGAACAACCAGACTGCAAGGCCCACTCTTGCCAGCACATGGTCCAGTCCAGGCATCTCACTCACTGTCACACAGGCAAGCCCCTCCAAAAGGTTTCTAACATGTGTTGCTGATAACTTCCTCCTACAGAAAGTGGAGAAAGGAACAGTTATCCTTGACTTTGTACTAGGTGACAGGGAACACTTAGTGGATGATGTGGCAACTATGGAAATGCTCAGGAAAAGTGAACATGCTATACTTAAAGGAAGCAAAAGCCAAATGTAGCCAAACATGTACCTGGCTTTCAAGAAATCCAATTTTATTACACTCAGAACAATGATAAGCAGAGTTCTATGGCAAGCAATTCTAATGAGAAAAGGAGACTAAGACAGGTGATTTTTTTTCTAAAAGGAAATTCTAACAGAACAATCACAAACAATTCCAACAAGGAAAAAAGGTAGAAGACAACAGAAGAAGCTCATGTGCCTTCACCAAAAGCTTAGGGAGAATCTGCATAAGAACTAGAAAGAAAGCCAGGCTGAAAAAGAAGGAAACATGCAGCACAGAATTGCAGGGAAGGTGTCAGGAAGGCAAAAGTTAGACAATGAGGCTAGCAAGGGATGCTAAAAGCACCAAAATGCCTTCTTCTGATATGTCCATAGTAAAAGAGAGAAGAAGGAAATAGGGGTTGAACTACTCAAGGTGGATGGCAAAATGATAATAGATGACAAAAGGCAGTAGTGCTCAATTCCTACTTCACCCAAAAGAAGATCTATGACCTTCCTCATAAAGTACAAGTTGAAGAAGCAGGATGGCAGCTCAAGATTGATAGGCAAATGGTCAAGGATCATATAATTGGGTTGAATAAGTTCATATCTCTAGGGCCTGATGAAAAGTGTTCAACTATTTAAAGTGGATGTCAGAGTGATATTAGAAGACAAGGAAAAGGCAGAGGTGCTCAATTCCTTTGCTCAGTCTTCTTGCATGAGAAAATCTACAACAAAGAGGAAGTACAAGCTGAAAGTTAGAGGTGGCAGCCCAAGATTGACAGACAAATGGTCAAGGAATACTTAGATAGAATAAACATGCTCAAATCTACAGGGTCCAATGAACTTCATCCCAGAGTCATAAAGGAGCTGGCAGAAGAACTCTTAGAACCACTGTCTTTGAGAAATCAAGGAGGACAAGGAAAGTGCCAATGACTGGAGAAGGGCTAAAGATGCCCCCATCTTCAAGAAAGGAAAAATAGAACTTTGGGGCTATAGAGTAGTCAGTCTGACAACAGTTCCTGAAAAAATTCTGGAGCAGATTTTACAGCAGTCAGTCTGCAGACACCTTGAAAACAATGCAGTGATTACTAGAAGCCAGCATGGATTTATCAAGAACAATACTGCTGGATTAATCTGATCTCATTATTGATTGGTGGGCTCTGGGAACACTGTGGACATAATATATTTTCACTTCAGCAAGGCGCCCTATGATGTCCTGATTTGCCAACTCACAAAAGGTGGGCTAAATGGAACAATTATCAGTTGGATCCACTATTGGCTACAGAATCAGACTCAAAGAACTCTCATTAATGGTACCTTCTCAGACTGAGGAGAGGTAACAAGTGGGGTACTGCAGGGTTCAGTCATAGGCCTAGTGCTCTTCAACATTTTTCTTAAAGATTTGGATTAGGGTCCAAATCCAAACGGCTTGGGTCCTGGTTACCTAAGGAGTGCTTATGTCCATATGTGCCCACCCGCCTCTTGAGATCAGCGGCAGAGGCCCTTCTCCGGGAACCCTCCATGAAGGATATTAGGAGGGTGAGTACTTGGAGGAGGGCTTTCTCTGCGGTGGCGCCCGATCTATGGAATGCGCTCCCCAGAGAGGTCCGCCTGGTGCTGTCGTTATTTGTTTTTCGGCACCAGGCAAAGACCTTTTTATTTAAACGCCATTTTAACTGTTAATATTATTTATTTATTTTATTTTTATGGCCAGGACGTCTCCAATTATATTATATTGTTTTATATTGTGATTATTTATTTATTGTTGTAAGCCGCCCCGAGGCTTCAGCGAATGGGGCGGCATAGAAGCTTTCTAAATAAATAAATAAATTAGGAAATGCAGGGAACAATGATCAAAGTTGCTGATGACACAAAACAGAGTGGGATACCCTAATACTTTAGAAGACAGAAAGAAGTAAAATCTTGAAAACAACAGAATGAAATTCAGTAGGGACAAATGCCAAGTTCTGTGCCTAGGAAAAAGAAACCAAATACATTGTTACAACATGGAGAATACTTGGCTCAACAATATTGCAAATGAGAAGGATCTTGGAATTGAAGATCACAAGTCTAGTATGACTCAACAATGTGATATGGCTGCAAAAGGCGCAAATTTATTTTAGGCTAAATTAATAGAAGTATCACTTCTAAATCACAAGAAGTACTAGTTCCCCTTTACTAACCATTAGTTAGGCTTCATCTGGAGTATTAGGTCCAGTTCTGGGCACCATAGTTTAAAAAAAGATGCAGACAAGCTGGAAAGGGTTCTGAGGGAGGCAACAAGGATGATTCAGGAACTAGAAACATGTCCCTGTGAGGAGAGATTGAAAGAACTGGGCATTTTTAATCCTGAGACTTCAGTGTAGCCTTCATAAGACTGATCTCACTCTACAAGTACTTGAAAGGCTGTTGCAAACAGAAAGAACAGGATCTCTTCTCAGTCATCCCACAGTGCAGAACACCGAATAACATGATCAAGTTGCAGGAAGCCAGATTGCAGCTAGATATCAGGAACATCTGACTGCTAGAGCAGTATGACAGTGGAACCAATTAGGAAGGTTGTGGGCTCTCCCACACTAGAGACATTCAAGAGCCAACTGGACAGTCATCATGTCAAACCTTTCCAGAGGGATGGTTTAACATGAAGTCTGCACTGAGCAGAGGGTTCGACCTAGTGGTCTTCTGGCTGCTTCTAACACTATTATTCTATGATTCTAAACCAGCCTAGCACTTGGGAACTGCCAACACAGGCCTTGAGTGCCACATAAAGTACAGACCACAAGAAAGTTGGCATCTTTAGGCAATGCTCCAGGAAGGCAGCTCCCACCTACAAGACCATGTGAGTCCCCTTCCCACAAGGCTACAGGGCCAGGCCCACACCTAAGCAATCAGATGGGTGACCCCAGCCATGAAGGCAGACCTCTAGATAGCTTCTCCCTGCAGGCAACACAGCCCAACCTGTTCCCCCCAGGTCCCCCAGCTCAACCAGTGCCAGAACCAGTTCCCCAATTTCCATCCTGGCCTCTGGAAGGCACACACCACAGGGCTTGTCCCCTTGCTGTTCCCCAAGTCACTATGTGGCCCAAGAATTAAAAAGAGGGCTCCTGCTGAGAATTTTAGAGTAGGCCATTTAGCAAGGAAAGGAGGATGAATGGAGGGACACTGGGGGAGATTCCTCCTCTGTACACACCGGTAGTAACTGCTCCAGGGGGAGGGAACGCAGGGATAAGCATCCCAATTTTCCTTCATGCTTGCCTCCCAGGGAAAGGAGGAGTGCCCTTGGTCCACCTCAAGCACATCCTTCTCCCACCAGGGGACCTCCCCACCCAGAGGAGACACAGGCAAAAGAGGAGGGCCTTCTCACCTAATCCCACTGGGGTCAAGGATAGGAGTTCCCCTCAAAGGGGAGGTACAGAGGATCCAAAGCATACTTTCGCCAGGAACATGGCTCAAAGAGACCCAGGAGGGGGAGGCAGCAATCCCTAACTCCTACCTCTTCCTTGAATGCCTGGTCCAATACATTTCTGTCCCCTAGATATTCCTCCCCTTCTGACTTTAAGAGAGAAGAACCACAGAAAGAAAAGGCAACCCCAGGGGTGCCTGTTCTCTCCAGGGGCCTTCCAGACATCCTGAAGTTCCAATGCCAGGGGGATGCTCCTTCTACCTTGCAAAGTATCGCAATGTAGACAGCAAGCTTCCAGTAGCACTTTCTGCCCATCCTTCAGTCCCACTGCTTTTTTTTCTGGTGGAAATCCTATGCAAGGCTAATCCCAAACCTGCTCTCACTTTTTCAGCAAGTTTGGTCAGGAGGAAGTAATGACAGAGCTGACAGTCCCTAGAGTAGACAATCCACTGGTAGCCCTTACATCTAAACCCTGTGATTGCATCAGGGTTTCAGTCCAGGATTCAAGAAGAAAAAACAATGGGTAGATGAATCAGAATAATGACTTCAGCCTTTGCAATAATGAAAAAGAATGTTAAAGGCTATTCCTCTTCTGGTGTTAATATGGTCACTTCTCTTGCATTCTCTGAGCTCTGTCTGAAAGGGAAAATAAACAGCAAGGAGAAGTGATGCGTGATCATTCATAATTGCAGGTCATTTAGAGTGGAGTAATATGTTAAGCAGATCTAAAGTCATAAACCTAAGGTCAGTTCAGCAAAAAATGTTCACCAGTGTGATCGTTTATATTTTTATTCTTCCCTGCTAAAAGGCTCACATCAGCTACAATTCAGAAACAATATCTTAACAGGACATGATCGCTATTTTCAGTCTTTAATATTGAAAATATCTGTATTTAAATGTCCATATTTTATATTCAGTATTTAATTTAGCTTTTCATTCTAGTAGTCTACCTTTTCCACATCCCTTCAACTCCTTGCCAACACTCTTGATAGCTGCCTTTTCCTCTTTTATAGTATCTCACTGTGTCTGCATAGGTGGAGCCACCTCTCCCCTTTCAAATCAATCCTAACGCTTGTACATTTCCCACCCCAGTTATAGGCTTGACCTTTCTTTCTTTCTTTCTCCACTCATTTCTAGTGTTAGCTTTCACTTGTAAGGGAAGTTACAAAGAACTCTTTGCAACGAACTCTTGCTCTCATGTTTGATCCATTCCTCTACCAATACCATCTCATAACTCATAATTCTTGGAAGTATTATTTCCAAATATAGTTGCATTGCATACACTGAAAATAACAAATGGTTCCTCCAACCAAGAGATAGTATATATTAAGTATTTAAATATATTAATATTAAGTTTAAATATTAAGTAGCAGATGTCAGCAAACTATGCACAAGCATATTGATTCTGTTGATACAGAAATTTCACCAGCATTTACCAGAAGCCAGTAATAGTGTGATGGAAAAGCAACATTAGGCACTTCCTGACGCTATGCAGATAATTTCCCACCCAGGGGAGAAATAGTATTGTTGGCCATTCACTTAAAGAGATGTCAGATTACATGGGAGATAATCTGTACGGTAGAGAGGTAGGTTTATGCTTCTCACTATGGCGGTACTAGGTTCTTGTGAGTGTATGAAACATAGCTTCCTTATATTATAAGATATTCCAATTTGTAAACTAAACATTTTATTGAGTTTTGTTATCTAAAAATTACAACTGTTTTAAAATTTGATTCCATTGAAGTTCCACCAGCCTTTTATATATTTAAAAATATTATTGAAAATAACTCCACCTAACATAGTATCCTAACTTATTAACCTTAGTTGGGACCCCACCCCATCCATTACCTAGGGTTTCTATCATGTTGGAGGAAGCAATGTGAATCTTGGATGTGACTGTGTACTTCTTCTTTTGTGTTTAAAGTTACATCTGTGAAAATCAGTCTATCCCTATGCCCTCTCACTGGGAAAATGTAAATTCAGAAGAACCATACCAGGTAAGACCTTACTAGGGTCGTTTGAATATATTGAAGGCAAAGGAATAATGCATCTGGGTAAATCTCTATGAACATCTCTTTTTCAGCTTGTTCCTTTGCAAAAACATACAAATGAATATAATGAGGTTGCTAACCACTTTGGGAGAACAATGGATAGTAATCAAATTAAACGAATTCAAAGAATTCAGAACCTAGATTTGTGGGAATTTTTTTGCAGGTGAGACTATTTCCAAACTAATTTGTATCCTAATTCACTAAATGAAATCTTTCTCATTTTAAAGGCACATCATGTCAGTATATGTGTTTCAAAATTTCAAACTTAAAATACCCGTTTTAGCATTTCTGTTCATTTTAAGGGTACTTCTAGATGGATGACTACTAGTGCTACCAGTCAAAAGATACAATGCAGCTATTCTGTCTTTACTTTCTTAATTGTCTTTTTGTTGTAAGAAAAAAAAGATGGAAGAAGCAGCTGGAAACATAAGATGGTTACAAATGGAAATGACAACTGGATCCCTTCCTTCCCTGTAAAGTTCCATGAATGAGGTAGGGCAGTTGCACAGTAAAAACCTCATCTGGAAACACCCTTAATCAGATCATTCTTTACAGTTCTACGTTTGTATTTTCACTTCTTGGTAAAATGTTTGCTTAGGGCTCAAAGTACACATTAAATAACTTTACCATAAAAATGATTGCTGTTAATCTACCACCCTCTGCATCACCCTCATGTTTAATTCAAAACAATATGTGACATTGTGATAATGACAGTTGATTTTGTAACTGTCATTATATGATTTTATATAATATTTCATGTATTTAGGCCTAACTGGTTTATGAATTCAACTGAGCAAACACCACAAACTTTTTTCAATTTTAAATCTCTGATTTGTAGCCATACTTGGTACCTGAGGGACAATGATTGACAATAACAGGAAATTAAAGCAATGTTTCCAAAGGCTGGATCAGTGTACATATTTTCAAGTGCCATTTGAAATGGCATCTGCGTATTTATTATATGCCACTGTTGTAATGCATAGCATGGCTCATCATGGTGAAGCATTTGCCATACTGTCAGGAATATGCCAGGTTGTCCCTAAAGTTTTCTGCTAGCAGGAACCCTGCTGAAACCAGTTTCATTTCAATTTATTGGTCTGGCCCAACTGCCCACACATACACATTTTGGTCTAGAAGAAAATAAAAATGTTTAACCCATGCCCTAAAACCTAGAAACACTTTTTATTCACCACAGCAAGTGGCTATCTATGAACTTGTTTGCAATTATGTAGCAATTTTATTTGGATAACCTTCTTTATATACCTGTGGCTCTACAGATAATCATCCGCAGCTAGCATGGCCAGTAATCGGGGATAAAGGGAGTTGTACTATAGTAATGACAGGAGGCTACAGATTCCACACATCTGCTGTATCTGGTATTTGCAGGAAGCAGATCTGTTAAGCAGAGATCTGTTAACTTCCATGACAGTTTCTCGCACAAGTATCCCACAGTGGACAATATGGATCACAGTGAAACTGTCTGATACATAAGCAGAAAGTACTTTTATTGCCAGTGTATATTTAAGTATAAGATGATATTCAGTACTGGTTTTCTAGATTTAGAGATTCTCTTCCTCCATGGTATAAAGGAAAATGTTAGTGCATACCTCAGGATGATGTAAAAACAGCTGTATTACTTCAGACTGCAGATATTTCTAGGAAAAGGAGGTTTAAAAGGGGGGGGGGAAGGGTTGAAAGAGCAATAGGTGTTTTCTAACGGGGACATACGGCTGTATAGCCCCAGATAAAACAAAAACAAAACAGCTAGCTGTCAAAACTCCTTTTCCCTAGAAAAAGGGAGGCACTTTTCAATTTTTCTAAGCACCTGGAAATGTGGAGGAAAGTGCAAAATGTACAGAAGCATGCAGATCAGCTGTTTGTGGGGGTGGTGGCGTGGCGAGGATCTTGCCATGAAGGAGCTGTAAATCCTTCCCAGAAAAAATTCTGTGCAAAATCCCTTGTGACTTTGGTTTCTCTTGAAAGCTCATCTTTTGACAGCTGTCAAGAGAAACCAAGAGGGCAAAAATAATTTAGAGCCTCTTCTGGGCAGTGTCCAGCATGGTGCTTGCTGCCAAGGTGCAGCAGGTACCAATACCTGCTGAGGATTCACATCTTCAAAGGTTTGCCATTTTGCAGGTGCAGTTAAAACATTTTAAAGTACTTTTCCACAATTATTTTAATTAAAAAAGGCTTGGTCCACCAGAGACAATTTTGAAAGAGTTCTCACTAGGTGTTAAAACGAGAATTACAAAAGCTGTGTGTGTGTGTGGGGGGAGGGGGTACATGGACATAAAGGGGTGAAAAGTCAAGTTGAGGTACAAACAGTTCACAATCACAGCAGGAAGCCATGAGATAACTTGGTCTTCCTTTGATATCTGCTGGGATATCACAGGGGAACTGTGGAGGGACAACAACCATGGTTACACTGATTGTTGAGTTCACCTTGGGCTATTCACACAACAATCATTCCACTGTGGCCCTTTGCAGCAGTGGGTTAGTGTAAAGTGTGAATGAGTAGCAGCCAATATGTTGTACTGGTATTGGACTGAGACTCAAACCCAGGTTATATTCTCCACTCACTCATGAAACTCACTGGGTGATTTGGGGCACTCACTGACTCTCAACTTAACCTACCCCATAGGGTTGTAGTGAGAATGAAATGGAAAGGCAGAGGTTTATGTAAGCCACTTCCTTGCAATAAGTAAATAGTATAAAGAAGCAAACAGACATATATATGGGGCACACACTCATGCACACACATAAACAGATAAGGGAATACTCCCAGCATATTTCTGATTCCCCCCACCCTCATTTCATACCAGACAATTTATGATACTGCACAGAGTACTTTTTCAAAATGCCAGTGTGCCCCAGGATGTTGGGGACCTTTGCTCTCATCTAATGTCTTTCTAATCTTGGTGTTTTTCCCAGATAGCAATTCTAGTACTTGAATTCCAGAACAGTAAACTGTTGATAATCCTTTTTTTTGTGGGGGACACACAGGAAAAAGGCTCAGTTAAAGAAAAAAAGAGGTGTCTCCTTTATTAATGAACACATGTTGTTTCATGGAACCAGCAGTGAATTTGTTGAAGCTATCTGCATTCATAACTTTGACTGGAGAATCAATGGCATGCACGCTGCTGTATACGGAAAAGGCAAGGGACTTAACAAGTTATTCCTTTATATGTTTTATGAAGTATTCACAACTTTGGTTTTTCCACATTTTGTTGTGTTACTGAATGGAACAGAAGTGGAACTGAATGAATTTAATTGGTCTTATTACTAATTTGATGTATGCAAGGTACTCAACTAAAATACTTTTATTATGGTACAGAAGTTAAATAAGTAAAAACAAACTGGTACTTGATGGTTGTGTAAGTATTTACGCCTAGAGGCAATACTTGATAGAAGCATCTTTAGTAGCAATTACAGCTGGAAGTCTTCTTGGGTAAACCTCTGTCAGCTTTGTACATCTGGATCCTGCTCCGTTTGCCCAGTCTTCTTGGAAAAACTGCTCAAACCTGGTCAGGTTAGATAAAGATTACTGCAAGTCTTGACCACTTTCAAGTCTTGCTACAGTTTCTCAATCAGACGGAGTACTGGACTTTGAGCCATTCTAAGACACTCAGGTTCTTATTTTTAAACCATTCCAGTATTACTTTTATTATCTGACCAGGATAAAATAAAGATAAGATGGAAACAAAATGCAGAAGAACTGTACAGAAGAGTCAAAAGGACGATAAGACTATTTCAAGGAGGGAACCCATGAGGAGGAAGAACCTGCAATATTAGAAAGTGAAGCTGTTTTGAAAGCACTTGGAAGAAATAAAGTACCCAGAGTAGATATGATGACAACAAGGACAGTGCACACTGCCTCCTACATTACCATAGATAATAGATTGATACCAATGGAACTATTTCAAGCTGCAGAGACTGAATTAGTCCAAATCCTAACAAGAACATGCCAGCAAGTATGGAGAACAAAACAATGGCCCACAGCCTGGAAACATTTAATATACATTCCAATCCACAAGTAAGAAGTTAATAAAGAATGCAGTAAGACATTGATGTGCTTGTTCAAGGTGCTATATCAAAGAATTTTACCCTGTGTGGTGTAAGAAATGCCTGATGTTTAGTCTGGATTCCAAAAAAAGAAGCAACACTCAAGATCCTATCCAAAATGGTGAGAACACCAGTCACCCAGTAATAGCTACCTGGCCAAATGTGGAAAATGAGGTCCCTGGGGATTTTCATCAGGGACCTGGGTTCTCTCCGGCCACTGTAGTTATTTGCACTATGGATCCAGATTCAGCCCACTCAGCCTGTATCTGCAGTTTAGTTGTATAGCTGAGACCAGGTGTCATCCTTCCCTCCAGGAGTGCCCACTTTCCTGTTGGGCTGCCATTTCTCTACCAAGGAAAATGGTGCATTTGCTGATGTTTTCTGCTTGTTCAGGGAGGCTGAGCTGCACAAAAGAGACAAGAACACCACTGGGTAACATAAGAGGACAAAAATGAAAGAGTCATTGGAAGCTTAGGCCAACAGCCTACCTGGTGTTGGGAGGGGGAACCTGTAGTGGATGGCAGCTTGCAGGACTGTTGCAGGGGGCAGTGAGGCAGGCTTCTTGGCAGTGGTCGAAGTGATGGAGACAAAGCAGACATGATGTGGATCGCCTTGGGCACTGACAGGGTTTAATCTATAATCTAATATCCTCCTGCTGCCACCATTTTCCTCACTGCCCCCCTGGATCTTTCCACATACACCGAAAGGGCAGTACCACCCACTTTGGGAATCACTGTGCTAGACTGACAGATGAACAAGTGGGTCCAAGCCAGAACTTTTCCGAGAAGCAAAAATGACAAAACTTAGAGTATATCACATGATATCAAATGCAGAAGAAGTGTACGGCCAAATCTGAGATGGACTGACTGCATAAAAGAAGCCTTGAATTTTGAAGACCTGGGCAGAATTGTGAAGGACAGGAAGTTTTGGAGAGCATTCATTTATAGGGTCACCATAACCTGGAGCTGACTTGATGGCACATAATAATAGCAGTGCTACCCTGGCTGTGTCATTGCCTTGCTAGAAAGTGGACCTCTGCCCCAGTCCTAGGTCCCTTAGAGACTGGAACAGTCTTTCCTATAGAATTGCCATCTGCATGGCTCCATCTACCTTACCCTCAATACTGACTAGTTTCCCGGTCCCTAACAAGGAAAAGCATCTCTCTAACATGACATGGCTACCACCATGCCATTTTTGTGGACCATCTGGGTCATCCTGTGGACCATGTATCCCATTTCAGTCCAGCATCTCTCCAGCTCCTTCAGAGTTACCATTTTCCTTTTGGCTGTTTTTCTGACTAATGCCATCCTTACCTGGATCACTGAGTTTTAATGGAGAGCCTTCTCTAGGCAGAGTCGTGGTTGACTCATATTATTTCCATTTTGATTTAACAGTACTTTGGAAAATGTTCATATTATAGTTTGAGATTTTTGTTTATAACTCCATTCTGATTGCTGTTTGTGCTCACCTTTACCTTGGAGTTCTTTTGACAAGTTCCTTGGTCTTCATGATGTCTTTGTTTAAATCAGTCCTCCCACCTTCTGAGGCCTTCGAAGAACAGGTATTTTTTATCTGCAACCATATGGCATTGGAATTGCATAGTGGGGGTGGGGGTGCATTCAGCTATCCCTTACAATATGTGACTTGCAGAGGCAGCAGGTGAACCAGAGCTTCTTTAGGCATGTCACAGCAAAAGGAGGGGGGAATACTTCTGTAACCAACAAGTGCTAGCAAGAATGTGCTTACAAATATTTTGTGTAACAGTGAAACATTTTGCACCTTCACAGTGTTGTGAATCTTGTGTACATGAAGTAGTAACAATGCCAATTAAAACAATTTCAGTTCGAGATTTATTTATTTATTTAAACCTTTTCTATCCCGTCGCCACATGCCTCAGCATCTCGGGACAGCTTACAAAGGTTATAACACAACAAAATGTGGAAAAGTTGGGTGGGAGAAGACTGTTTCCACAAGGTACCATAAATTGGAATTCCTGAATACATATGATAATCTATGAGGAACTCCCAGGCAAAAGCAAACAAAGACTGGAACTCTAGTAACTCTGTTGAGCACAGTCTTCTCCAGAATGGAGGAAAGAATATAAAGATATGGAAATATGACTCAGAGATGGGTTCCAGAGGAAAGGCAGGATTGAAGGGCCAGGCAGATGGTGATCAGTCTGTTTAAATGAACAGGAACTGACTGCCTGCCCAGACAGAAAGCCAGGAAACTTTCTATAGGGCTTCTCATCAGTGATGTGTGGGCAGTTCCTCCAGCTAAGGAGTGCACTCTGCAGAAAAATGCCTGCTTGGGGGCTATGGCATGAATGTATTATGATACAATACTAGCAAACTCAGTAGTGTGCAGCAAATCCAGCTGAGAAGCTGATGGCTATTGGAACAAACTGGGCTTTAGTTCTTCTATGTTTTGAACTAGATGTGATGCAGAACAGAGAATGAATACAGAAAGAACTCTCCCTCTTGTCCTCTTTAACAGAAATGCATAGTGTAATATGTTCTGTATTTACCTGCTGTGCACCCTATGAAAGCAATTGCTGTAGGTCAGGAAATGTATGACATGAGGATGAGGGAGCAGTCAATGGGGTTGCCATTTTGGGCAGCTTGTCCTTCATGATATGTAGTTCCTCTGTGGGACATCAGTAGAATGAGATGAATTTTTTTCTGCCCTATACTCAAACATGTTTCTCTTTCTGTAGGAACATATTTTGCTAGGGATGCTTCATACTCCAGCCGCTTCTGCAAAGATGATTTAAAGTGTGGCAACACATTTCACATCCATGGCATTGATCTACAACTTCACGCATTTAAGAAGCATAAAGTCATGTTTCTTGCTCGTGTATTGACTGGAGACTATATTAATGGTGACTCCAAATATGTGAGGCCACCTTCAAAAGATGGGAGCTTTGTAAATTTGTATGACAGCTGTGTGGACAACACTTGGAACCCAAAGATTTTTGTTATCTTTGATGCCAACCAAATCTATCCAGAATATTTAATAGAATTCAGCTGAGACTTAGAGATGGCTGAATTGTATGATGGTGTTTTTATTTTTTGTGTGGTTTTGTTAAACTTACTAAGAAGTAAATATATAGCAGCAACTCCGAGTGGATATATGAAGTATGACTTAAATTATTTACATTTAAAATTCTGGAAGCACTTATAAACCCTAATAACAACAACATATTTATTTGTATACTGCATCACATGCTGCTATTGATCCTGCAGAAGTTGTGCTAAAATAGGAGTTGGGAATCCCAGGCCAGTCAATTTGGTCTCTTACTCCATAAGCTATCATCTGTCAAAGTTTGGTATAACATTAAAGTGAAGTATGTGGCAGTCAGTACTGCAATAGGAATGTAACATCTAACTTAACAGTAGTAGTTGTGGCCAACAATAAGGTAGGTATTTAAAATCTGAGAGTTTGGCTTTTAGGAAAGATGAATGAAACCTTGATTACCAATTTTACATGGTTTTGATCTGACAAAGTAAGATCTGTTCAGTTGGTGGGACTTGCCTAAAGTCATCTAGTTGAGTTCACAGTAAAGATGAGATTTCAGGCCACTAAAAGTATTTCCTTAGATATTAACTCAGTCTTACCTCTTAGGTACTGCATTATCATGAATATAAAACAGGAACATTTGCAGGTCCTTCTTAACCAGACTCTGATCCGGCATATCTGTAGGGTGGATTAAAGTGTGGTTGGATTCACACATTGCAACAAGGAACACTAAGTGGTTACCACAGTTGGCTGATTTTTAGCTGGATGTGCATGGCAGATAATGGGCATGTTTTCACAACATGACACACAACTGGTTTTTTGCACAAGTTGGTCTGTCATGTCATCTGTAACTACTCATGGTATTTCACCATGATATGTTTGGTTTTTAAAAACCACAAACAGAAGCACTCTGTTCTATGGTCTCTTGGTAACTTGACAGCTTGTGTTGTGTGAACCAGAAAACACAACTCATTGCGATACTAAGGCCAGCACCATAGAGTTACTTGGCAAAAGCGGGCTATTGCTGTCTTTGACATGCAGCCAGCCAGAGATCACCTCTGACAGCTGCCATTTTGCACAACAAGGAGTCCTCACTCTACCCATCTAAATATCTTCCTTGGGGCAGGAGCAGGTGAGTAGCCAGTCAGTGTTGAAAAAGAAGCAGTGCCCTATTGCCTCTCTCCCAGTCAAGTAAGAGGAAGGAGAATCACCTGGGGGCTGAGAACCTCAGCAGATTCTCTTGACATCCCATTCTTGCTGGTGCTTGCCCAAGAGGTGTCCCCAAGCCAGCACATGGAACCAGCAGTTTTTGACACCAATGACCTTATGGAATGACTCTGAGTTGGAAGGGGGTGGTACTGCATCGCAGTACCTACTTGGAGCGCTGTCTCCAGAAGGTGATGCTCGGGGAATATTTTTCAGCTTTATGGATTCCCCAGCATAGAGTTCCTTGTGGGGGTCTGTTCTCTCCTCCATGCTATTTAACATTTATATGAAACCACTGAGTGTTTCAGAGTGCATTGCTGTCAGTATGCTGATGACATGCTGCTCTATTTCTCCTTTTCATCATCAGCTGGTGAGGCTGTGGATGTGCTAAATTGGTGGATGGCTGCAACTGGATGACAGCTAACAAACTGAAGCTCAATCCAGACAAGACTAAGATGCTGTTGGTGGGTGGTTCCTCTGACTAGATGGAAGGTGTTCAATATCTTCTAGATGAGGTTGCACTCTTCTGAAGGAGCAGATTTGTAGTGTGGAGGTTCTCCTGATCTGTCTTGGTCACTTGTGGTTCACGTGGCTTCAGTGGCATAGAGTGGCTTCTACCTTGTTTGATGTCTGGACAGGAATAGCCTGGTTTCTGTAATCTATGCTCTGGTAATCTCAAATCACTGCAATGCACTATTCAAGGACAGTTCAGAAACTACGGAATGTGGCAGTCAGATTATTAACTGGGACCTGTAGCTCTGAACAAATAAGTCCTGCTTGCATTCATTTGCCTGTATGCCTCTGGGCCCCATTCAGGTTGCTTCCGAGGGAAGTGGCTGAGGCCCCATTGTGCAGATGTTCAAGAAAAGATTGGACAACCGTATGTTGGGGATTACATGAACAAAGCCAGCTGGAGCTGGGAGTCAGACTAGATGGCTCAGAAGACCCCTTCTTACCTTTCCTCCTATGTTTTGTATGTTATCAGGCTCAACTCCAATACTATTTCAGCCCACAAACACATTTCCCTAAACACTTCTAGTGATGATCTAGCTTGCTTAGCTACTTTCAGAATTCTATTTCTTCCACTACTTTGTCTCATCTCAAAATATTCAGACTGACATGGCTTTTCTGTATGAGGGGTTTAACATGCTGCAGTAAGATACTTCTTCCATTTTCATTGAAGAGGAAAAATGCATCTTCTACAAATTACGTAATTTCAAATTAATTACCAACTTCACCTCACTCTGAAAAAAACATGAAAAAGCTGGAAAATATTTTATTTATTTGTAGCTTCTTGCTCATTGTCAAGAGCCCTTGAATTCTCACCCTAAAGCTCACTTCTCTAGCAAGTTGGACTTGTATACCTGTGTGGGAAGGTGGAGCAGAAAAACATTCAGTGACTGAGCCAAACAGTGCCACTCTGTTTCAACCCCTCCCTGTTGTTCCAGAAATCTGGAGGCTTAAATACCTGTATGGGAACATAGAGTAACTTCCGTGTCTAAGCCAGACAAAGCCACTCACTTTCTGTTACAAGTACTGCAATCTCCTGTACTCCACTGGTCTACTTGTTTATGCCTGGACTAATGCAATCGAAAGGGTATGTTAGAGCATTCTTTCCTGTAAAAAGTAAAAAAAAAACCCTTCTACACTCCTCCCAGTCATGAAAACGAGGCTTGGAATCAGCACCCTGGTTATGCAAGGAACCCAGCTACCCCAGGCTGGCCAAGTGCCAGAAGCAAGTAGAAGGCTCCAAGTTGGTGAGCCAGCAGCTTTGACTGGTGCCAGCTCTCCGGGCTCTTATCACCTGCTCCACTGACCTTGGGACTTCTGCAGGCAAGGCGTCTGCCCCCTCGCTGAGTTGCACTTGTGCCACACACAGTGCAGGCTGGGGCCCTACTTTGCACCGGAACGAGCTGCAGAAGAGCTCTCGCTCAGCTCAAGTTCCCCTTGGGGACAAACCCGATCTTGGCCAGCTTGTGGTCATGCAGCCTTATCAGCAGCAAGCAACAAAGAAGGGAAGCCTTGCATCAGGGAAGGAAGCTCTTTCTCTACTTAGTCACATATAAGAGGCAAAGGGAATATTTGCTACCTGGAAGATACCACGTTAGAAGTCTGTGTCTGCTCTACATTTCCTGTTGATGGCAGAGAGGCACAGCAGTAGATCTGTAAGATCCTGACCCGCTGAGCACGTAGCTGTTAGAGGGCCAGAGCACAAGCACTGGGGCCATCACTGAGGTTCTTGAGTGATGGCCCAAAACCATTGTTGAGAAGCTGCAAGACAATGATTTAGGAGGAACGAAACTGCATGTAAAAGAAGAAAAAAAGACTCACGTGGAACTGCAGGCTTTCCTGGGAGGCAGGAACTTGCCACCCACAAACCTAGGAAAAACTCCTGCGTTACAGAGATAGGAAGAGATAGAGAGGTTCTGGCAGAAACGTATCATCACATTGTGGAAACAAGGGAACAGAACACTAGGACCAGAACGTAGCTCTGTGGCCCTCCCATTGCCACATTGTACAGCTTAGCAAGGAGGTCTTGCTGTGCCCTCTTACTAAGCTGGTCTTGCTGTGCCTTGCTGTGTTCAGACGAATCCATAGGCATCCAGCTGTACAGTGTGGCAACGGGAGGACCACAATATGAAAAAAGAATTTCCACAAACAACAATCCAAGTTAAAATTTTAGAGATGCCCATTTATGTGTAAATCCCATGAGAACTTCATTGTAGTCTCTAAGCATTATATAATAGGCTCTATGCCTTTGTTGAGCCTGTGGTGTGTCAGTTTTACATACTCCAGGTGGATAGTTCACCACAGTTTTGTAAACGATCATGAGTGTAACAAACACACTGGCTTTGTTTTCTTCCAACCCACTCTACCTGTTCCTCTCCCACAGACCTGATTTTATGGTTCCTTTATTTTCATTCTTCTGTGAGTGTTAGGGACTCTGCATTACTGAATCCCCTCCTCTTACGCTATCTTAGAAACAGAAACATAGAAACAGAGCAGGTCAGAAGGGGCCTCCTGGGCCAACTAGTCCAACCCCCAGGTCCAGCCAGCTCCACTCATGACATGCCTACCATGTGCATGTCCAGCCTATCCTTGAACACCCTCACCGATGGGCTTCAACCACCTCCCATGGAAACCCACTCCATACCCTAGGGGTCCTAACTGTCAGGAAATACTTCCTGGCATCCAAATTGAACCTTGGTTCCCTGAGCTTTGCTCTATTAGAATGCATCCTGCCCTCCGCTGCAGGGGAAAACAGGTTTCCACCCACCCCCTCCGTGTTGCATCCCCTCATGTACCTATATGTCACCAACAGATCCCCTCAGCATCTCCTCTTCTCCAGGCTGAAAAACCCAGTTCCCTCAATCTCACCTCATAAGGCTTTCCCTGAAATCCAGCCACCATCCTTGTGGTCCTATGCTGCACTGACTCTAACCTGGCTCTATCCTTCCTGTAACAAGGGTTCTAGAACTGAACACTATACTACAGTTGCGGGTGCACCAGAGTCATATAGAGTGGTAGTCATACAGTGGTATCTTGGCTCATTAACTTAATCCTTTCCATGACTCCGGTCACAACCCAAATTGATTGTGACCCAAGTCAAATTTCCCCATAAGGTTTAATGTAAATAAGGTTAATCCGAGCTGTAACTATTTTTTTAATCACAAAAATTTGAAGTAGAGTGACAAAGATCAACAAAGATCGCAGCCATCTCCCCCCCACCCCCTAAACCACGGGTTCGCCCACCTCCCCCCCCCCCCGCCCCCAGCACAGCCGCAGTCACGACTGTCTTCCTTGCAAAGTGCGACCGCAATCACAGCCATAGATGGGCAAGATTGCGGGCGCGCTCGCGGGTGGGAGATGGGCGCGATTGCGATCGTTACCCGATGTGGAGTTTG